TTTAGTGGAGTCAGCAGATTAGAGCCGGCTTCTCCGAGGCTGAACGGTCCCGGCGTAATCGCTGAAACAAAGCTGGCCTCAGAGAGGAGATGCTCCAGGGTGAGGTCACAGAGGATCACATGACCTGGATAAAACCCTTCTTTAAACCATCAGATGAGGACAGGAGGAACAAGGGGCCACACACAGAAGTTATTTTTCTCCCTTTGGAACAAACGCCCCAAACAGCACGCCGGTCAGGTGGTCCCGGAAGCAGCTGTAAAACCAGACCGGTCGTTTTTTAAAAATGCATTTGTTTTAGCTTAGCGTGGTGGGGGGGTCGTTTTGTCTCAGATGTGTGGCTGCCTCTTGCTCTTTGCCCCTCGCCACCTTCCTGTGTGTAAAACCTCCCGGTCGCCTGTCGCTTTCAGAACCTGCTCGACAAATTCCTCATTGCCAACGCATCTCAGGCGGAGAGCAAGGTGTTCTACCTCAAAATGAAAGGAGACTACTTCAGATACCTGTCAGAGGTGGCCTCCGGGGACTCGAAGAAGGGTGAGTATTGCCCCCAGAAATATCCCATCGGCTCTTAAGTCATTAAAACGTGCAAAAATCCCGTTTTGATGGCGGATTGGGGTTGTCACGATACAACATTTTTCAACTCAATACCGATAGTCAGGAAAATATCCAATACTCGATACCATTTTAGATACCACGATAAAAACAAAGATCCCAAAATTTAACTGAATACTTATACTCGATACTTTTGAAAATTAGTATCGTATCCGGATACAACCTTTTAGTATCGATACTTTTTTGAGTATCGATAATTTTGACAACCTTATGGTGGATTGAACAGTTTTAGGGATTTACAGATGAACAAAAGATTAGCTAGATTTAACGTCATCTGAACTGAAACGATAGCTGAGGAATCTGCGTCGGAGTGGTTATTTAGCGTGAGGCGCCGGCGTTAAATAGAGCGTCCGCTGAGGAGGTGGTCGTCTTCCAGAGGCAGGTTTCATTATTAATCAGCAGGTTTGGGCGCTCTGAGCAGAGATCTGGAGAAGTGAAGGCCGGTCCAGGCTGCAAATGGACTATAAAGAACTTTTTTTTCAAAGGGAGGTAGCATCCAGACTCAGGACTCAGGACAACTGTGGAACGGCCCACAGAGAAGTTAGCCGAGGCTTTCTCTCTATCTTTTCCCTTTTTAAAGGCACGGCGCGCGTTCAGGCTGTTGCCAAGAGACGGCAACACGCAGCATTTGCTTCCAAGGTTATCAGTCAGACAAACGCCATGGCGATAAGCCTCTACATTTAAAGGAAGTCAAGAGAATACTGGCTCCATGTCCAGGCCAGCCTGAGCTGGGCCCGGTAGAACCCTGAAGGTTTTGCTCACAGGTCCTCATTACAGCTGACTTAGAGCTTTGCAGGGCTCTGTAGGACTCTGTTGGGCTCTTTACAATTCTGTAGGGCTCTGCTGGGGTGTTTTGGACGTTGTAAGACTCTGTTGTGCTCATTAGGACTCTGTTGTTCTCTTTAGGACTCTGATGTGCTCTTTAGGACTTTGTAGGACCTCGTTGGACTCTTTAGGACTCTGTAGGACTCTGTTGTGCTCTTTAGGACTTTGTAGGACCTTGTTGGACTCTGTAGGACTCTATTGGGCTCTTTAGGGCTTGGCAGGACCATGATGGGCTCTGTAGGACGCTGTAGGGGTGTATGGGACTCTGTAGGCCTCTTTAGGGCTCTGCTGGGCTCTTTGGGACTCTGCTGGGCTCTTGAGATCTCTTTAGGACTCTGTTTGGCTGGGCAGGACTCTGAGTTCTTAAGGATGCCGTAGGACTTTGTAGTGCTCTTTAGGACTCTGTAGGGCTCTTTAGGACTCTGTAGGGCTCTTTAGGACTCTGTAGGGCTCTTTAGGACTCTGCTGCGGTCTGTAGGACTCTGTAGTCCCTGACCCCGGCTGACCGCTGCCCGTCTGTCCAGACACGGTGGAGAACTCTCAGCAGGCCTACCAGGACGCCTTCGACATCAGCAAGAAGGACATGCAGCCCACACACCCCATCCGGCTGGGCCTGGCCCTCAACTTCTCCGTCTTCTTCTACGAAATCCTCAACTCGCCCGAGCAGGCCTGCTCTCTGGCCAAGCAGGTGAGTGTCACCTATTAGTTATTAGTTATTAGTTATTAGTCTCACACTCTAACGCCCCCCCCGACTCAACCCCCCCCCCCCCACACGACTCTCCCCCGCAGGCTTTCGACGAGGCCATCGCCGAGCTCGACACCTTGAACGAGGACTCATACAAAGACAGCACGCTGATCATGCAGCTACTAAGGGACAACCTTACTGTGAGTACACCCGGCAAC